TGGATTGAAGCTCAACATAAAGAAGACAAAGATTCTCACCATGGTAGGGTTAGGGCCAATTGGCAGCACCATGATAGATGGAGAAGAGATTGAAGTTGTTAACAATTTCGGCTTGCTCAGCTCCACAATCAACACTCTCAGTACCAGCAGTCAGGAAATCAAAAGACCAATTACACTGGGAAAATTTGCTGTCAAGTACCTCTCCAGAGTGATGAAGAGCAATGATGTCAGTCTAGAGACTAAGGTGCACCTGATCCAGGCCATTATCTTCACAATTATTTGCTATGCATCAGAGAGCTGGTCAATGAGTAAGGCTAATAAAAGAATTGCTGCCTTTGAGTTGTGGTGCTGGATAAGAGTATTAAACATACTACACACTGCCAAGAAAACAAATAGGTCTGTCTTGGAGAGCGTGAAACCAAGTCTCTGCATAGATACTAGGATTTTGAAGCTCAGTCTCACAACTTTGGGCACATGGCCAGGAGGAACTGATCCTTGAAGGACATCTTACAGGGTGGAGGGACAGTGCAGGAGAAGTCCCCAGATGAGATGGATTGATACAATAACTGGGACAATGAGAGTTGGTGTGTCAGAATTAGGGAGACTGGCTCAGGACAGGGCAGGCTTCAGAGCTGCTGTACATAGGGTTGCTATGGATCACAGGTGACTCAATAGCACATGACAACAACAACAATGTAACAAGTAATCGTTTGCTGTAAGCTCCTAAAATGAGTCAATTCTTATTTCTGGTGTACCCCAGGTGTGTCAGAGTAGAGCCATTCTCCATAGGGTTTTCAATGGCTGTTTATTTGGAATGAGATCACCCGGCCTTTTCTCTGAGGTGCCTCTTGGTTGACTTGAACTTCCAACCTTTCTTTCAGTTATGCTACTCAGGGACTCCGGAGAATAGGGAATAGGATTATTGTGAGTCCATTGAAGCTATAGGAGTGAGCAGCTCTTTTAGTTAATTTTACTCCAATTGATGCTTCACAGTGCTCATTTCAATTGCTTTATTTACCACAAATAAAGCAAATTGTATACGGTTGCTTCCCATTTCCTTAACCGGTATATTTTCTTTCACTGCAGCTAAAATAAGGGCACCAGTTCTTTTTGTCATCTCTGCTCCTTCAGCAGCTTGCTCCAGAGGAAACCCCACTTCCAAAGTGGAGGGTCTTTTTCGTTGCTAGCGCTCAGCAAGACAAACATTGGTTTGTGGTTGAAACAGCAATCGGTTGGAGAATGAGTGTTTTAGTGGAGCTTGATGGCTTGGAAACCAGGCCAAATGGAGAAACCAGTTGGAGAAGAAAACCTCAGCCCAGATGTTTTCAATAATCTCTTTGTTCCTTACAACGTGTCAAGGTTCCCTCATTTTTGAGCCTGACGAGGCATCCATCACAGCAGGCACATTTATCAGGCCTTGAAGTCAAGGAATTGGCCCTGATCTTCCATGACCTAGAAAAACCTCAGATTGTTTTCTTGGCTTTCTAGTCTCTTAATTCGGCATGTACTTGCTTTTTTTTTTTTTAATTGTTATTTTAGTCAAAGTTTACAGAGAAAGTTTGCTTTCCATTCAAATATTCATACACCTTTTTGTTTTATGAAATGATTTACAATATCCACAATGTAACGATGTTCCTTTCTTTCCTACCCCTTCTTACCTTCTGAACCTGCTCCTGTGCTAATAATGCTGCCTTTGAGCTTGTATGGTTGATTGTCCGAGGAATGGATACTTCGTTGGTGGTATTGGTCATCTAGAAGCCTGGCTTATATTAGAGCAAAAGTTGAGTCACAGTGCTGACTTTTCTGAATTTCTGAATTTTCCCAGTGCTGAACCAGTTTCTAAAGGTTACTAAGGGACATAGTCCAGAGTATCCTACCAGTCTCCAGTGAGCCAATAAGGCTTGGCATACAGTAGTTTAACCTACTTATTCTTACGTCATGGAAGCAATAGAACACTTTTCTGGTTTACTGGAAGAAGAAAGGGGAAAGGGGATCTGACATGTGCAGGACTGACCTTATCTCATTTGCAGCATCTGTTTACTGAGCATCATTCACGACTACAGAAGAGGGAAACAGGCTTGGTTAGTTGCTGCCTAAGTTGCACAGTGCCCATATTTATGTCAGGTGCACTCAAACCCAAGTTTATCTGACTTCACGGTGCTGTACATTTCTAAAATAAGCCATGAGAAAGCTGCAAGGTCTTTCTTTGTTCTGGATTTAGTGCCATTTCTAAAAAGAAAAAAAAATAATCACAATTTGGAGACCCTGTTGCTTTGCACACTGAATTCACTACTTAGTGCAAGGCAGGTAAAGGAACACCAAGTGAGCAGCTTGCCTGGCTGCTTGGCAGCCCTGCTGTCATCTGCCTTCCTAAATGAGAGGAGGCGTCTCTGTGGTGGGTCTCAGGTGACTCAGCAGACAGGAAGCACAGACCAGGAGTTGGCGACCCGGGGGCTGGTTACAGGTATCAGTGCTTGTAGCCAAACATTGTCCTCCCTAAGCCAGAGCTCTGTATCTGCCTACTGGGAATGTTAACATCTGCCAGTGAAACACTTGCATGGTTTAAAATGAGCAAAGGTGTGTGTCAGAGTTGTATCTTGTATCCTTTATCTATACCTGTTCAAGCTATTTGCTGAGCATTTTGTTTAAGAAGCTGGACTATCTGACAAAGAATGTAGCATCAGGATTGGAGGAAGACTCATCAACAACGTGCATTATGCAGATGACACAGCCTGCCTTGCTGAAAGTGAAAAAGACTTGAAGCCCTTACTGCAGAAGATGAAAAAACTACAGTCTTCAATATGGATTGCATCTTACATCAAGAAAACAGAAACCCTCCCCGTGGGACCAACAGGCAACATTATAAGAGATGGGAGGAAAAAAAAATTGAAATTGTCAAGGATTTAGTTTCATAGGAATCCACAGTCAGCACTCATGGTAGCCGCAGTTAGGTGTCATCAAGTCAAGTATGACTCATAGCAGCCCTATGAACAACAGATCTGAACCTTGTCCTATTTTCTGTGAACCTCATAATTGCTGATACCCTCAAACTCATTGCTGCAGTCACTGTGTCAATCCACCTAGTTAAGGGTCTTCCTCTCTTTTGCCATCCCCCTACCTTCCCAAGCGTGATGTCCTTCTCCAAGAACACTCATGGTAGTAGCAGTCAAGAAATCAAAAGATGTGGTACACTGGAAAAATCTCTTGTCAAGAACCTATGCAAAGCATACTTAGATTTTATTAAGTACTTTCATATCATGGGAATACAGTACTCTGCATGCCTTTTTAAATATTGAGTACAACGACCATGAGTAAAATGGAAGAATTAAAAACAATAAAAAAGAACCTATGCAAATTTCTAAAGAGCAAGGATATAAATGTAAAGACAAAAGGGTAACTGATTCATGTCACGATCTTTTCAGTTGCTTCTCATTTGTCTGTAAGTTGGGCAGTGAATGAGGTTGATGGAAGAAAAATTGATATCTTTGAATTGTGATGTTGGCAAAGAACATTGGCTATCCCATAGATGGCCCAAAGTAAAAACAAATCTGTTTCGGAGAAGGTGCAACTAGGTTGCTCCTTACTGGCAAGGATATTGAAACTTCATCTCACATACTTTGGGCATATTATCAGGAGGGGCCAGTTCTTGGAAAAGGACCTTATGTGGAAAAGGTGGAGTGTCAGTGAAAGAGGAAGACCCTCAACAGGACAGATTAACACAGTGACTCTAACAATAGGCTCCAGTGTATTGGCGATGGTGAGAATGGCATAGGATTGGGCAAACTTGAGATGCATTGTTCTCAGGGTCACTGTGCATTGTGGTGGACTTCAGGGCACAGAACAACAACAGACATCCTCTTCTCTGGGATTTGGGGAAGGTCAAAGAAGGTAAGACCTATGAAAATGCCTTAAGTACATTAAACCTTCCATTGAAAGATAGCTAACTTTACCATGAAAGGTCAGAGTTCAACTTGTACTTAAGCTGGAAGGGGACACAGGTTTGTAGCCCATCCATGTAACTAAAATAACGATCATCTTCATGGTTGCAATTTTCAAGAACCTACTGTAGGCACAATAAACTAGGTTACATGCCAGATCTGAACTTTGACCTCTTCTGTGACATCCTCACACTTCCTGACACACTAGAGCTCACACTTCCTGACACACTAAAGCTCATTGCTGAACTCATTGTGCCAGTCCATCTGGTTGAGGGTCTCCTCTTTCACCGGCCCTACACCTTTCCAAGCATAATGCCTCTCTCCAAGAAATAGCTTTTCCTAGCAACATGCCCAAAGTAATATGAGATGAAGCTTTATCATCTTTGCTTCCAAGGAGAACTGTGGCTGCACTTTCTCCTCGCCATATTTGTTTGTTTTTTTGGCAGTCCATGGGATATTCAGTACTCTTCTCCACTACCATAGCTCAAAATCATCAGTTTTACTGTCAGCCTTATTTATTATCCAGCTCTCAGATGCATAGCAAGTGAACAGAAAAACCATGACCTGAATCAAATGCACCTTAGTCCTCAAATTGACATCACTGCTTCTCAGTAATTTGCAAGCTGTATAATAATCTCTAATCAACAACTCTGTCAGTCAAGTTTTACTACTTTCACTTTACTGAGAAAGAAAGTACTTGGACCTGGGTTATAACAGCTGTGAGATGTGATAAAATGGAAACTCAGCTTAGTATCCAAAGTTTATGATCTTTCTACTCTAGCATGTGCCCTCTGATTTCTATTTTTTTATCATGTTCAAACTACTACAGAATCAAATCACATCAGTTGTTTACTCAGACAAGGGAATCCAGGTGGCCTAAAACTGTACACACTATGTTACCATAATAAGCATTGTTCTATGGCCAGGTACAGATGCCAGAATTAAGGCAAGACAGGTAAAGATAAGAGGGTGAGCAGATCAGTCAGTGTGAAACACTGGTGCTCTCGGACTCAGCATTTCTTTGAGGTGGCACTTATTTTCTTTCTTTTCTCCTCCCCTCAGGGCCCATCTGGTTGGACAATGTCCACTGCACTGGCAGGGAGGCCACCCTGGCAGCCTGTTCTTCCAATGGCTGGGGCGTCACTGACTGCAAGCACACGGAAGACGTGGGTGTGGTGTGCAGTGACAAAAGGATTCCTGGGTTCAAATTCGACAACTCATTCATCAACAACGTAGAGGCAAGTGACCACTCTTAATGACTCCATATGAACAGTTCTCTCTGTTCCTGTAACTGTTGTTGTTGTTGTTGTTATGTGCCATCGAGTCGCCTGCGACTCATAGCGACCCGACTTTCCCATGGCAATACGTCTTTAGGTTCTGTTTTAATTTTTCTCTTTCTCCCTTCAGTCACTTGTTCTAAAAGAGGACAAGTGCCAGTGTCGTAAGGGCACTCAGACAGCTTACAGAGAGGCCCAAGTGAAGAGGATCTAAGGGCGGACTCTGGCCAACGAATGCAAGGTACAAAAAACCTGTAGACCTCCAGTGAGTGAGCATACAGGAGGGCCCTCCAGCACCAGCCGACGGTATGATTATAACCTCATTAAAGACTGCACAATCCCTGAGCTAAGATGCTCCTGGATTTCTGCCTTTCAGGAACTCTGCGAAAATAAATGTTAGTTGTTTTCTACTGTACAATTTGGAGGTGGTTTGTTATGCACAACTTCATAAGTAATATATTTTCCTGATCCAAAGGAAAGTTCCTGATCATGAAACAGAAGGCCTTTCTGCCCACCTCTCAAGCATTATTTCTCATCACTCATACACAGATCCACAGCTTATACTTGGGCAGCACCAAATGACTTATCCTCAATTCTTATCTCTATATTTCTGTGCTTTCTCCTCAGTCTGTTCTTTGTGTCTAAAAACCTTTTCCCCCAAAGAGTGCCTCCACATCATACCAAGTTAGGGTAGGCCTCCCCTCTTGGTGTTCAGAAGATGCATCTTGAATTTGTATTAGAATTTTGTAAATAAACTAGTGAAAAAACCCACAAAATAAGATAAGAAACTTGGGGGGAAAAAAAGGAGTAGTTACAGGATTATTATAATATTACGCTGTACGCTCACTCACTGGAGGTCTACAGGTTTTTGTACCTTGCATTCGTTGGCCAGAGTTCGCCCTTAGATCCTCTTCACTTGGGCCTCTCTGTAAGCTGTCTGAGTGCCCTTACGACACTGGCACTTGTCCTCTTTTAGAACAAGTGACTGAAGGGAGAAAGAGAAAAATTAAAACAGAACCTAAAGACGTATTGCCATGGGAAAGTCTGCTGTTAGGGACCTCTCCAAAGTACTGGAGAGCAATGGTGTCTCTCTGGAGACTAAGGTGCGTCTGATACAGGCCATGGTCTTTGCTATCACTTGTTATGCATCAGAGCGTTGGACAATGACTAAGGAGGATAGAAGGAGAATTGATGTCTTTGAGCTGTGTTGCTGGAGAAGAGTACTGAGAATACCATGGACTGCTAGGAAAACAAGCAGATTTGTCCTGGAAAGGGTTAAACCGGGTGGCTCCTTGGAGACAAGGATTCTGAGGTTCTGTCTAACATACTTTGGACATGTTGTAAGGAGGGACCGGTCCTTGGAGAGAGACATCATGCTTGGTAGGGTGGAGGGACAGCGCAGGAGGGGAAGGCCCTCTATGAGGTGGATTGATTCAGTGACTGGAGTAATCAGGATGGGAGTGTCAGAGACAGTGCAATTGTCACAGGACAGGACAGAGTTTAGGGCTGTTGTACATAAGGTCGCTATGAGTCGCAAGCGACTCGACGGCACATAAGAACAACAACAACAAAGTCTTTTATAACCTAACCTCAGAATAGACGCATCACCGTGTCTATTGTATTTTATTTGTCATGGACCAGCCCTGGTACAGTGTGAGAAAGGACTGTATGAAACAGCAGTTGGTGGAGGTCATTGGCAACCCATCTTCGAGGCTGACTAACACTGGGTTGCTGTCCTCAGATCTCTCTGGGGATCAGAATTACTTTCAAGATGCAGATGTTGGGCTTCACCCTAGACCTAAATCATATTCTCTCTCACACTATAGGACTACGTATTTTTAAGCTCTCAGATTATCGTTCCAGTACCAGATTAATACTAGTTAGCATTTGGGGATGGCAAACAGGCTTCTGTATTTTTCTATATATGCTATATTTTTGACTGAATTTTTAAAATTTAAATATTTCTTGTGCTATCAGTGAAACTTTACATAGCAGATAATGTTCCTGTTTAACAATATCTAAACAACTACTCAGTGACGTTGGTTGCATTTTCCACATTGTGCTTTCATTCTTCTTCTTTTAATCCAGTTTGTTCCGTTTCCATTAAAATAGCTTCTTGTCCTCTCCTCAACATTTGACTTTCTTTACGTTAGAGTAAATGTTGAAAATCACATATAATTTTTTTTTTAATTGAAAGGATTCGGAGATCAGTGACTTATTTAGTTAAAAAGTGACAGCCATCAGGGAGTAATTTCAGTTCAAAATTTAAGGGCATCTCAGGATTATGGTCTCAGGATTCCTCTAAATTCTGCTGTCTGACCTTTTTGTTTTTTAAAGACTTTAATTTTGTGCTACATGTCCTCAATTCTATCTTGCACCATCTATTGTGTCCCTAGTCAAGTCCTTGGGAAGAGGGAGCCCAGCACTGTCTGGCTCTTCTGTTCTCAGGACAGATGAAGCTATGGCTTGTATAAGCTGTGGGTTGGTCCTATAAGTTAGCATCTTCCTTAAGCCTTTGGTTTCTTCCTTTCTCTTTTGCTCCAGACAAGGGGAAATATTGTATTTCAGATGTTGCTTGCCAGCTTTTACACTTCAAAAGCTACCTACGAAAAAAGGAAGTAAAGTACAACTTTTACCAACTGTGTTATGCCAATGGACTGAGTTTTCCCATGAGATAGTGGTTCTAAGCCTTCAAATTCATTCAGCCAGCCCAGTGTTGTGTTTAGTTATGACTAGGAAGGATCCAGGGCTGTTACTCCTATGTGGTTTATTATATGAATATGTATGCATCATGATCAAGTGTTGTAGGATTTCCATTCTTCTCAGTCTTCAATATGAGTTGAAACTCAACATCAAGAAAATCAAGATTCTAACTACTGGGCCAATTGGCAGCACCATAATAGGTGGAGAAGAGATTGGGATTGTTAACAATTTCAGCTTGCTTAGTTCCACAGTCAACACTCTTGGCATCAGTAGTCAAGAAATCAAAAGACAACTTGCATTAGGAAAGCCTGCTGTCAGGGACCCGTCCAGAGTGCTGGAGAGTAAGAGTGTCAGACTAGAGAGTAAGGTATGCCATATCCAGGCCATGGTCTTTGCAATTACTTTCTATGCATCAGAGAGCTGGATATTGAAAAAAGATGACAGAAGAATCAATGCCTTTGAGTCATGGTGCTAGAGAAGAGTATTGAACATATCATGGACTGCCAAGAGAACAAACAGGTCTGTCTTGGAGTAAGTGAATCAAGTAGCTCCATGGAGGCAAATATTCTGAAACTTTGTCTGACACACTTTAGGCATGTTGACAGGAAATGCAGTCCTTGGAGAAAGACATCATACTTGGAAGGGTGGAGAGTCAGTGCTATAGAGTTACACCACGAATGAGATGTATTGACACAATAACTGAAATAATGGGGGTAGATGTGTCGGGGACAGTGAGACTGCCTCAGGTTAAGACAGGGCTCAGAGATAGTGTTCACAGGATTGCTGTGAGTCATAGTTGACTCAATGACTCATAACAATGATAACAACATAGATAGATAGATAGATAGATAGATAGATAGATAGATAGATAGATCCTCCTGTATATGCTGTACACATATATGTATCTATTTCTACTTAAGTAACAAGTATTATTATCTTTTTGTTTTCTGGTGAATAATGCAATTGTTTCAGTTGTAAATGTTATAGCATTTTCCAATAATGTTCTCTACTCTTGTGTACTTTTTGGGTTTTGGTATTATTTTTGTAATTATTATTATTATGAAAAACATGTATGGGGATACAAGGAGGTAAGTTTTGGGAGCAGAGAGTAAGGATGGGCAGGGGTGAAATCACAGGGCTGCACAATTTGGTGGATGGAGGGAGTGGATGAAGGAAATGAGAACGATCCAGCGGAAACAGAAAAGACAGGGTAATGGTGAGCATAGTCCAATAGTGATTAATATTTTTTTAACAAAGAAATTGTCTTATTCATTTTTGGGCCTCTCATTTGGGAATGAGGTGAAGACTCTCTGGCTTCTTCATCCTGAACAGGGGTGTTGGTGTGAAGGGGGAAGGGAAGCCCACTTAAACACTTTATTGGCAGTCCTGGGTTAGAGCTGCGTGCCTTCTTATTCTGTTAGAAGATAGTTTCCTGACATTTTCTGCCCTCTGGACTACAGAGTGTTTGCCACAGTGAGTTCATTGGGGATGGCTGGCCTCAGATTGTGGAGATGGTATAGGAGAGGGCAAGGGTTAGATCTATTATTCATAGAATTGCTCTGAGCCTAGACAGAAGGTTATGCTACCAAACCAAGGATCGGTGATTTTAATCTGTGGCCCTCAGGCATTGTTTTCAGTCAAACACTTTTCTAAGTAATATATCACTGCTCTGTCACTTGTCTGTAAAGAGGTACCCCGTGGTTGCTGTGATGGGAAACACTGACACTGGTGTGACAAATGCGATAATGGTTATCCATGATGGACAGTGTTTTGGGGATCTCTCAGATTAAAACAAGCTTAGAAGCAGGAGTTGCATCCACTTCCAAAACAGCTTTTCTCCAGAAACTCTATGAACTTAGAGAAACGATGAAACTTATACAAGTGTTCAGGTCCTTTATTCATAGGGTGGCTATGAGTTGCCTATGACTCGACAACACTCAACAACAATAGATCCTGAACAGAAGATCTCAGTGTACCACATCTTTTGATTTCTTGACTATTGCTGCTAAGAACTATTTCTACCTAGAGCGGGTCTGTTCACCACTCTCAGACCCCCTTCTCCATTTGTAGAAGGCAGGAGTAGTGATACCTACTTCGAGGTGCAGTTGGACCACTTGGTGGAGGGGAGGGGGCGATGGTGGTCTTGCTGGACCCAAGGGTGCTGTCCTTGGCCATGAATGATCTTGTGTACTTTTGAGTAACATCATTTATCTTGGTCAAGTTGTACACACTTTACTCACGTTGAAGATTTCTTTTCC